GTTTCTGTGTGGATGGGTATTTTCTTATTCAACCATGGATGCTGCCGTATCGCCGTTAATGACGCCCGCGATCCAGCAGCTGTGGTTAGACATGACTTGATCAGTTGACAGCATTCTGGAAAAATTCTTCCAAAACTGAAAATTCCAGAATGTTTTTCTTTCCGCTTCGACATGAGTGCAAAGATGCAGGACAGGCTCAAGGAGCATCTGGCACCTGTGACGCACGATTTCTGTCGCTGTGAGTCGGGGCTATCTCTCCGCTAGGTGCGTGACGTAATGGCGCGAAAAAATTCGCCACCGATGCTCTCAACAAGTTGTCAAACATAGAATTATCTCACCTTTGGACACATAGGACGGAAATTTCACTCGTCCAAGACAAATTTGAATTTCATTTCGGAAGGGAAGCTGTCCGGTTACGAGTATGTAGAGCAGAACTCCTAATGACCAGCTAGTGGCTTCGAGCGGGAGATACTGTAGTTGTCGGAACCACTCTGGTGGACAGTAGGATCGAGTTCCTGTACTACGGTAATGTTGTTAATTTTGGACCGAAAACTATATTTTTTCATCACCTTGAAACTCCTTTTTCATGGCTTTTTCAGCAGATGCTGTAGCTCCAAAATCGACAAGCTTCACTTCGCCAGTCGTCATATTTACAATCACATTTTCATCCTGAATGGAAAAAACGGTATATGGTTCCTCAAAAAATGAAAATTCTATTTTTACCTTGATATCTCGATGGATAAGTCCATGCTTAACGTACATTGTGCATACTGAATCTACTACTTGAATAAAAAGCGCCCGTGCAGTGTCTGTAAATGAATTTTCTCAATACCAACTATAAATTTTGCTGCTCACCTTCATCTAGTCTGCCATAGGTGGATATCAAATCAAAAATATCCATGCAATTTTCCGGTCGCTCCATAACGATTAGAAATCCTTTTGAGCTAAAAATAGCCATAATGCTTACCAAAGAAAAGAAATTAGTGAAAACAAATGCGCTTACTTTGCAAACCAATCTATTAACCGGATAACACCTGGAACATCTTTGCATGTTTCCAGATGGCACACTTCAGATGGTATTAATTGATTGCACGTCTGAAAATTGAATACTTTTACCTAGCAATAATATATTTGTGATTTTGAGCGCTCACCATAGTCCACTCTCTAACATGTTTGTGCTCTACAAATTTCACTGCCACTGGCAAATTATCAGCTATTCGTACAGCTCGATAGACTATACCAAAACCGCCACGACCAATTTCTTCCAGAACATTGTACTGCCGTCGGAATTCCTTGGCTGAGTGTGCTGTAAATCTAGCATCTTGTCTCAATATGACAACAAAATGCGGCATTTTTTCACATTCCCCAAAGATTTACGCATTTTTCAAGTTTGCTATGATTAGGGCTAGAGTAGACGAGCATAAACAACTTCTAGCGACATCTCTGGGTCCATCTTCAGAAAAGGAGAAAACAGGCCGCTTTGAGAAAACAAGCTGATGAACTCTATTTGGGCAACCCGAAATCTGATAAAGTTGCTGCAACTTTGTTAGAATGGCTGCAACTTTACTGCAACTCCTAGAACTTCCTTCATTCGCACAACTAACATAGGAAAGTTTATTGCGATTATGGAAAAACTT